GTTTCATATCTATAATTTAAATTACACACACTTGGCATAACCGTAAATTTGCCTCTTCCAGCAATTTAAGGAACAGTAATGTATTTTGAAAGGTACCGTGTGGTTTAACCGATGAGAATAGGTGACCACTGATGATATTTCCACGTTGGAAAATATTATGGTAGACGATAAGTTAGAAACGACAATTCTACCACATATACATTCACCATAGTCCCTGTCCAAGTACGATAATAATGTAGATGGCACAATCCCCGGTCCATATGGTACGCTACAGAATTTATACAAAAATTAATTTTTGTATAAAGTTATTAAGGTATTAATTAACGTATTTATTCACTTACTTATATTTCTTAATGCTAATAAAAGCACAGTCTAAAAGAGAACACACTTCAAATTTCGGAAAAGATAAATCTGCTTTGCTTCTAAATGAATTGTCAGTAATATCTAGGACATCTAGATGTAGTGTCAATATTGATAATGGAAGATACTGTAAATTAAAATACATAAAGTTTTTATTAATTGTTAATTGAAGTATATATTATAAAGTTTGTTTTATAGCTTTGCATTAAAATTCAAATTTTGTTAACATTTTATTGGAATGTTAGTCTAATGACAGTTTAAATAAAGCATTTAATCAAGTAAAATTGATTGTATACAATCATGTTATTACACAGCATTTATCATCAAGTTCTTATTTACAATAATGTTTATTATTACAACTATATTTCCTATCTTATAAAACAAACCCACACATAAGATATCCAAATTTTTGCCAAATTATAGATAAAAAAAATAACGTATTGTTTTGAGGAAATTGAGAAATGAAACTATCACACAATCCAGAAAGATAGCTTTTATTGAGATTGGAATATTCAGCAATTTTAACAAGTTCTTCACATTGTATCAATAAAAACTAACGTGAATTAGCAATAAGGGTGTGACTGTGCAAATGCAAGCAAGAATGTGTGGCAAGAAGAGGTAATGTTTTATGTCCTTTTTTTTTCTTAGACTCATTAGGTATAACTACACAGATAGATGCAAGTGAATGGGAGAAGATGGTGTGACAATGTTTGCATTGAACTAATAATGCTTTGTTTATTGGATGGATTTTAATTATAAATACACCGCACTAACCTTGTAAATGCTTTACAGTTTTTGGAACGCAGCACAATGTTTTCGGTCCACCATAGGACCTTCTTTACCTGAAGAAGGTCCTAGGGTGGACCGGTTCGGCATTCAGTTGGTGTTTAGCTAACTGCAAAGCATTTATAAGGTTAGTGCGGTGTATTCATTGCATCAAACACATCACAAAGATGCTATTTGATTCTATTTTGACAGTAAAATATTTTGATTGATTCCTTTGATCAGGAAGATATTTACCAGATATTTCTGAATGAGAATAAACAGTAGTAAATTTTCTTTTATGGCAAGTCCACTNTCTATAAACAAATACATTTCTCTACAAAACAAATTTATTTCAGAAATTATTCCAGCATACAATTATAACATAGAATATGCATTAAGAACTGTTCTAAAATTTAAATTTTGATGAACAAAATACTACTTGTTAAGAGTAAGCATTTGAGAATGTCAATAGGCATAAGTCATTTTGGATATACAGTGGAACCTCACTTAACGAGCACCTTGCATAATGAGTATTTCGCATAACGAGCAAAATAAATTGTAAAAATTTGATTCGCTTAACGAGCGATGTTTTGCATAACGAGTGACAAGGAGAGGGGAAATCCTGGATTGTGCGCATGCTCCATCAGTCTGTGTTTAGCACTCGTTCCATTAGCATCTTAGTGTTGCTCATGATCACACATTTTTCCAAACTTGTGTTCACATATATTATGTATAAACATTGACAATCATAGCCCATTATATAATAAACACACCATCTTGTACTAAATTTAATGACTAATTCCAAATTAAATTTTAGAAATGTCTAAATTAAAAATTAATTATATATAATTATTAAATTTAATACGAGATGGCAACATAACTGCCTACCTCTAGTCAAATTAATTCATTTCTAATATTTAATTATATCCTTTACATAGCCCAAGAATTTAGCATATCATTTGGCATGTTCATCAGACATTATCTGTGATTTTTTGTTTTCTTCAAATCAAATTTGCATTTCAGGTTGGTTCATTCCATGCTAGAAGAAAAGATGATGATGATTCATACTTCTTAACAATGTATATTGTGTAATTTTTTTTGAATAAACGTTACACATAAAATATTTAAGTATTTTTTTTTTGGCGTGGAATGCATTATTGTATTTTACATTAATTTCTGTAGGAAAAACTGTTTCGCTTAATGAATGTTTCGCATTACGAGTAAGATTCTGGAATTAATTATGCTCGTTAAGCAAGGTTCCACTGTATTGCTGTTAATTAGGTACATGAATCAATGGCATATCCAGGATTTTGAGAATATGGGTGCTGCTCAAAGATTGACAGGAGACCAAAGCAGATGTCTCCTGTCATTTTTCAGAGAATGTTATTCCATAATTTTAGAATTACCTTAGTTGTCCAACTTTTTAAAATTAAATATATGATGGGAAATGGATAATATTGAATTAATAGATTGATTATATAAATTATACAAATTATGGTATGATTCTAAAGTAAGAATAGAAAGATACAAAATCATTACTTTTCTTATTTTCATTAGAAATTATCAAAATTACTTATTTTGAATTTATTTGTAATTATCTTTAGTCTAAGTCTACACTTTTTANGGACTTGCCATAAAAGAAAATTTACTACTGTTTATTCTCATTCAGAAATATCTGGTAAATATCTTCCTGATCAAAGGAATCAATCAAAATATTTTACTGTCAAAATAGAATCAAATAGCATCTTTGTGATGTGTTTGATGCAATGAATACACCGCACTAACCTTATAAATGCTTTGCAGTTAGCTAAACACCAACTGAATGCCGAACCGGTCCACCCTAGGACCTTCTTCAGGTAAAGAAGGTCCTATGGTGGACCGAAAACATTGGACCTTCTTTACCTGAAGAAGGTCCTAGGGTGGACCGGTTCGGCATTCAGTTGGTGTTTAGCTAACTGCAAAGCATTTATAAGGTTAGTGCGGTGTATTCATTGCATCAAACACATCACAAAGATGCTATTTGATTCTATTTTGACAGTAAAATATTTTGATTGATTCCTTTGATCAGGAAGATATTTACCAGATATTTCTGAATGAGAATAAACAGTAGTAAATTTTCTTTTATGGCAAGTCCACTGTCTTCTTCACTAAAAGAAGCTATTTTCTATTCCTGTGCCAAGGCATATGCACTGTATTAAGTGAGAAAAGGCAAGCCACAATAAATATCAAACTCAGATATTTTTGAGAGCCAGAAATTTGTTCCCACCAGCAAAATTTTTTGTTTTCACTTCTGCCTGGTGATCATGCACTTTCCTTTGGGAGAACCATATTGCTTGTAACTAGAGTCACATCTGCATAATCACACCCTTATACTAGATTGTTTGTATTTGCGCCAATAAATCAATCACCTCATATTGCCGTCATGCCTACTCTAAATTCTAATATGAATATGAGTGAAAAATTCATCTGTACATGCAACTTTATATAAACAGCTAAATTAATCAAATTGTTCTTTCATTCACCATAACCGTGTATTTCTATTAATAGGACTTATTATACTGGTGTATAGAATTATAGCAACACAGTCACACAGATTAAAATTGGTTTATTTATGATTACCTGGACACATACAAATTGCNCATATATTTGTGTTTTTCAAATAAATTTTTTGTTTGTCTCCTTTATAATAAATGAATTTATCTATTTCTAAGTAAAAATTGAAAGTGTGTGTAGAAGTAATTTTTTAAAATATCCTTTTTTGTGATAAAGTTTTAACGCTTATTACTATAATCTAGACATGTTAATCTATAAATATACTTTTATAGTTAAGGATTGGGTCACAAATATTATATTATATATACTTGTGGCCCAAAACTCCATGACTTCTTCCAATGTGGCCCAGAGTAACAAAAAGGTTGTGGCATTTGTTTTCTTCTATGCATATTTGATATGGCTTGATCATGCATAAATTTTTCAATAGACTCTTATAGCCTCTAAATAATGAAAATTTACCTTCAGTCCTAATAGGACTGCAATTTGAAAAAAATTGTACACCTATAAATTCTCACTGTTGTCTGTCTTAATCTTGAGAACAAAGTTAGATAGATGAAAGTTGAGAGTAGATATGGAAAGATTAGGGGCAGGAAGCCCCGATTAACTATATACAAACATTTGGTGCAAATCAGAAGTCACATTATATGAATTAAAATGTTTTCCCATGAAAGCAGTTGGATAGATGACAGCATCTTTCTCTTGCTAACAGAAAAAGTATGATGTACAGGAGCAAGACACTACTAATTTGAGATTGAGAGCATATATTTTAAATTAAAAATTATTAAAATATGATTAAAAATTTCGGCCTGGCATTGTGATGATGTCACAATAAATAATTGCTCATTCTCTTTACAGTGTTTGGCATTTTATCTCCAATCAAATAGCCAATGATTTTTTCACTGAAATTCAAACTTTTCATGGTTGTAACCAATAATTTGACAGAAAGAATGTAAGCATTATTATTTCTGAAATACTTAATGCAATTTTTTTGGCCATATGGCAGTTTTTCTAAGTGCTGAATAATAATAAAGCATTTCATATGAGAAATCTTAACATGCATTTCATTATTATAATTAATTAATTCCAACATATGCATTATGGTTTTTAAGAATCGGCTTCTTTTACTAAACAAATAGTAAATAATTTCCAAATTCTGAAAAAGAATTGAATATTCATCATCATCAGAACCATTAAATTCTAATTAATTTCCTAACTCCAGTAAAAATATATATCAAATAATTTTTCATTCAATGAAATTTGTGATTTTCTCTGATGATTTAAGAATTTATTTTAAAAATTATAATTTATATTAATTAATAAAAATATTTACCTTTCTAATTAGTATATCGTGAGGTGGTTCGATAAAACGTATCGTTGTTTTTCCCAAATTCATATACGATTTAAAAATCCTTTCTATGTTACCTTGTATCTATAATATATTTAATTAATTAGAAAATAAAAAACAAAATTATTTTTATTTTTTGAAATATCCAAAATATCTATTATTGTAAACGTATTGATTGCTTTCTTTCTGTCAGTGCAATTGAATGGAGTTTTCTGCGTAGGGCTAGGTCTGGTGAAAATTTCACAAAAACATCACCGAGGATGAAACGTTGGTCTATGGGTAGTACATGGAAACAAAACATCAATCATCACAATAGGTGGAAAAATATTTACTGTAACCCAAAAAGGCTAGCTCAAAATTATTAAGTAATGAGTAAACATATTCTCGGAACCAGTTTTAATGTCTTGCCACTAGGAAGTACTCTAAATAAGTAAACCAAAGCTGTATTTCATTTCTTAAAAAACAAAACACAGATAAGTAAGCATGACAAGTTCAGTTGAATGTGGAGGTCTTGCTCGCTGTTTTGGTCGATTCTAATGGTGTCATTCACCAGGAATTTATTCCAAAAGGGAAGACAGTAAATAAGAAATACTATCTGGAGGTGATGAAACATAATTGTAAAGCAGTGAGGAAGAAAAGACCAACTGCTTGGAGAGAAAAGCATCATGACAATGCTCCTGTCCATACATCACTGCTGATAATAGAGTTTTTGGCTAAGAACTCTATGCCACTTATTCTCCAACCTTCAAATTCACCAAACTAAGCTCCAGCAGATTTCCTTTTGTTTCCCAAATTAAAATTTGCCCTCAAAAATCATCATTTTGAATTCATTAATAAGTTACTATTAAGGAAAATTCACTAGCAGATCTGCACATCATCCGAAAAGAAGAGTTTCAGGAAGTATTCCTTTCAGTGCAGAAATGCTGAATTTGGGGAATAGACTCAGGAGAGGACTAATTCAAAGGTGACAAACTGACTTTACTTCTAGGTAAATGAAAACAACAACTATTTGCAAAGTTTGCAAACTTTCCGGACAGACTTCATATTCTGCTGAAAAGTGTTTGAACATTAATTTAGTAGTTTAAACTGCACTTTAGCAGTTTTCTCAATTTAATAAAATTATTTGAATTTAGAACATGACACACTAAAACATGCAATAGGCAAAACTTCCCTTGGATATAACCTGTGAAAGTCATAAAATGAGTTATTTCAGTATACAGTCAAATTTTCCCATATGAAATACCCTAAGGCAAAAACCATACAGCTGGGAACACATGTACAGTACCAGTATACCTGAACAGGCACACCCATCCAGACCTGTTTTATATATGTATATGTAATCTAGGCCTAACATTTCAACACACAAACTACAGCTAATATAATCAACAAGAGCCTAACATTGAAGAACAAAGTGAATTATGTTAAAAAATAATCTTGAATATGTATATTAAATCTTGCAAAAAAATTTAGATTTAAACATCTTTTGGTTCCTGCATCTGCTAGCAAAAAGTATCCACAATTTTTTGAAGACAGAATCTTAGCGTGATAATCATTGCGAGAGACTATTACCACAGGTTACATTTTAATAAAAAATTTTTCAGAGAGTAAAAAGAAGAAACTTGCTCTACTCTATTTTCCATTCAGTTTTGGCAAAACTTTCAGAAAATATTTTTGATTTCTTTCCATCCACAACTACGCTGTATTTTATGAATGTATTTCATTGGACTAATAAGCCCAACTCATTTTCAGAATGACGAGAGAATTGCTCTGCTTTCCTAATTGTTGAAGATTTTATCCTTACTTATAACTAAGGCAAACAGAGATTGATTGACAGTCTTGAGCTTGAATTTGAATAAGTGGCAAGTTTTTGTTTCAACCTGTCCGAGATGAAACATGCTTAACCCGGCGTGAACGAGGTGAGAAATTGTTACACCAGCTATGAGGTGGGTAGGAGATACCCGAAACTTTGAAGCCAAATTTTTTATACTATAATTGTGTATAAAGTATTTTTTCACTTGGGATAATAAGAATAGTATCTATTCAACAAGATGAGTAAATAAAATTTTATGTTTAAGATTGAAAAGCATTTTTTTAATTGAAATAACAAAGTTTCTATATTTTCTTTGAAAAAGTACAAGTTTTGGTAGTTTAAAGTTTTTTTCATATAAAATTCTAACAAAATTACAACCTCTTTGGTTAATCAACATAACTATAGTATATTTCAATTATAAAAAGAGAAAAAAAAAAAAACTAAAAGGTCTGATGAGATCAATTTGCACAGCACCAACATTATACCTACAAATCAGCACAATCTTCCACACACAAAAATTGCATGCTTCATACAATTTGGCTTCTCACACTTCAAACAGCAATGTTTTGTTTTCCTATCTGTTTTTTAGTACACTCACCACACCTGACATATTTATTAGCCATTTTTTTGGAAACAGGTAATAAAGGTTCTCCCAGTTGATCAGTAATCACTTTTCGAGTTTCCTTTGGAAGATGTGTTTTTTTTTGTCTAATGCGAAGACTATCATTTGAGAAATCTAGAAATAAATCTAAAAATACTATAAATAACTATAACTCATAAACTTACTGTCAACTCAAAAATGTAACACCGACTATGAGGTCGGGTGTGACGTACCCCAGCCACCTTTGTTCACGTGTATCTCCCACTGACACCAGCGGAACACTAAACTCAACACTGTGCCTTGCCTCCCACTCACTTACCTCCAGCTACTGGACAAGGGAATTTGCATGGCAACAATAACATTAAATAATCTGTGTTTAAAATCTTCTCAGGTATGACATACTCGACCTCACTCACGCCAGGTTAAGCCACATAGTACCATGCAATTCTGGCTTTCACAGGCTTTACTAAAAAAAATTAATTGAATTGCTCCGATGAAAATCACAACTTTGCATTTGAGTAGATGGAGGACATATTGAAAACTAATATGCAGATTGCTTTGTGTTTATTTAGAGATATCAAGTAAAGGTATGTCATTTGATTCCTTCATTGCAACCTTTACCATCATCTCAGTACTTCACTTCAGCATTACACTGTAGTCTATCTTACAATATCTTCTGTCACAACTTTAAGCAGTATACTCTGTAAAATTAGTTCATTACATATGTACGCATTTAAATATTATGTTAATATATTTTTATTGCTGACATTTTTAATATTTATATTTGAAAAATTGATAAGTTTATTTATCAATTTTCATAGTCACCTAATATATATATACAACCATAAAACACATTTATAAATTATATTTTTAATAAATAAAAATGATTACTTACCTTATATTTAATACCTGCAGGATTCTGAACCGTACAAATCATTAAATAAACATTAGTAGATTTGCTAGTGCTTGGTTCAGATGCTTTCGCATCTTGATAAACAAGGAGTGTCGCCTGACACGCTCTTCGTTTTGGGAGCGAGGTGGAATGCAATCGGTGATCGCTAATTTCTATTTCGCAGGCTAACTTCATTCTACAGAATATAAGTTTGCAAATGTTACAACAAGAATACATTGTAACTAAAGATAAATTATTATTATTCATAATCTTCTAAAATCTGTATGCATCTTTGCAAATTAAATTTAAATATGCATCAAAAAATGAAAATGGACTTCAATCAGATTAATTAGTGAGAGACTGTCAAAATCATTAATAAACTGATTATCTATTTTGATGGCCACATAGCAAATCAGTATAACAATTAATAGTCAGTCAGTTTAATATACAAGTATACCTTGACTTACATCATTTCGAGTTACATCGTTCCTGATTATACATAGTTTGTCAAAAAAGTATATGGAAAAATAAAAATCAAGTTTAAGTCATTTTATTTGACTTTACATCTGTCCGCCACAAATATTGAAGTCGTAATATCATAAGAAAAACGTTTGAAGCACATAAAATTATATTAAAATATACACATTTACAAGTATGTACTGTATTTACAGCACATGCATTTGTAAATTTAGATTACTTTATTCTGTACTATATTAAAAACTAAAATTTGTTTGTAAGCTTAAAATAGATCCTTATTAACCACATATTAAAAACGCATTAATAAATAAAATACAGAACCGGGAATGGTAATTTATGGTTTATCCTAGTGACAAGTAGATTTGAAGACAAGTAAACTTGACTTACGTCGCCTCTCCTGGAACCAATTACCGACGTAAGGTGAGGTATACCTATACTAATATTCATAAGACTGTTATTGTTACTGTGATTGATGCAAAGTAAAGTATCAAGAAAAAATCAACTCTGTCGCAGATTATACTTATACTGAAGAGGGATTGGTGAAAACTGATCCAAAATGCATATAAATAAAACGATCTGTGAATTAAAATTGTCCTCCGAGCGATTCTTGACCTCTGGTGAATGCTGGATTAGAAAGACAACATATTTGTCTATAAACCCCTTTTTAGTGGTTACCGAAATAAGTTATTATATGTGGCAGATATTACTAATTTTAGCTCTATATAAAAAAAAATTGTAAAAGGCAAAATTATTAATAAGTTTTGAAGCAGTGAAAAAGAAATTCCACATCTTACAATCACATCCAACAACAATCCATTAAGGAATTAATTTATTATCAAAGTTTTTGATTAGTCTTAACCTTCCATCTTCATTTATTTTTATAAAATATCTTTATAGTAGTAAATACTGTTCTCGTGCAATTATCCATGGGTTGACTGTTTAAAAAAAACTTGAAAGAAGGTGCAACTTCCATTGCAACTTATGCAATGGGACAGATTAAATGCTGATTTTAAAATACAATTAATGAGCTATAATTTATTATGACATTGTCACATTGCTCGGCTGCAATTTTTTGTCACAATGTTTCCAATTTCAGTAGTGTCTTGCCCCTGTACATCATGCTTTTCTTGTTAACAGTAGAGTCATGCCGGTCATCTAACTCCATTCAGAAGAATATTTTTTAATTGAAATAATGTGACTTCCAGTCCAAACCGGAAGTCCATACATAATTAACCTGGAGTCTCCTGCCTGTGATTAACTACACACTAGCTTTCCATATCTGGTCTCAACTTTCATCTATCTCACTCCATTCCAGAGATTATAGAAAGGACAGACTGATGCTAAAAGAAATTTATAGATTTACAATTTTTGAAAGTTTTTAATTGCATTTTAAAATTTGCATAATCTGCCCATTGCATATGCCATGTCTAAGGTGAAGTATAATGAAGCAAATTATACAAAACTTATTTTTATTCCAGCAATTTTCCATGGTATATATGTCATTGTAGATTATATACAAAAAACTATGGTATATGATATAAGATATTTGTTTTTAGTTTCATTTTCTAAACATTTATTTATATTTTTTGTATTATAAATATACACAGTAATCCCACCATTTATGCAAGTAATTGATTCCACAAAAACAGTGCATAAATAAAAACTGTATAAATAGAAGAATTAATGTGTGTATGTATGTATATACAGTAGAACCTCGATTATCCGGACTAATTGGGGATGAAGGTAGTCCGGATAAGGAAAAATCCGGATAATCGAAATAGATACTTTAATTTGTCTTTTAATGATAATACAACACGTTTTCTTTTCGATGACATATTGGTAATATTAAAAGTAAATACTGTATTTAAATCGTGATCAAATTTTCAAGAAACAAACGTTCGTATTGAATTTGGACTACNGTATTATTGTATATATTAAAATTTATAAATAAATACAGTAAACCCCCCTATAAAACGGGTTCATATAATACGGATTTGTATATAACAGCAAAAAAATTGCGATCGTATTTGTATAAACACACTAAAAGAGACTCATATAATACAGTAAAATGTCATCGCCAAATTGTGTTGCAACAGGATTGGTCGAATCTAGACCAATAGTGGATATTGCACAAACTGTTGAGTTTAAACAGCAGACCTACTAAAAACCATTTATTATTTAATGGCCATAAAAATTATATTTATATTAATGATGTCTCCAAAGTTCAGCAAATTCTTCGCAGAAAAATAATTTATCAGGAAACACACGCCCGCCGTTTGATGCACTGCTCCACGATGAAAACAAACTTAAGCAATGGTGTCATCAAACGGTGCACAGTCGGTAAGTAATCCTACAATTTTTTGTTTATAGCATAGTTTATATGGATTATTCCCAAAAAATTATGTTTTGGAAATGTTGAGTCAAATTAGTCTAGAATCGATTAATTTTATGGAAGAAAACCTTTCAAACAGCCGTAGTCCCTAAACTGCACACGTGCCGGGCTGTGATTGGCTCATGTATTTAAGTGATCGTAAAACACTGAATTCATATAAAAAGGAACGTATCTACCGTATTATAGGAAGGTCTACTGTAAATACAAGATACAGAATCTAATGGTTTGGTGATCGGATAACAAATTATCTGAAATATATAAATCATAAAACGTAAGTCAATGAGCAATTATTTATTGTGACATCATCACAATATCAAGCTGCAATTTTTAATCATCTTTTAATTTGAAAAAAAATCATATGATTTCAGTCCAGACCATAAGTTTGTATACGGTTAATTGTTCCTAAACCTTCCATATTTGGTCTCAATTTTCATCTAACTCTGGACTGACAGATGAGTGTCACTTTTATTTGGTTGCAATTTGAAAGTTGCAGCCCAATAAAAGTGACTGAAAATATTTGAATTTATTAAAAACTTACTGCAGAATTTTGTTTTGAATTATTTTAGTTTATTCCAGATATAGTCTATTTAGTTTTTTTTTAATTCTTATTATTTATAGTTGATCAGATTAACTTTATGATTATATATGGTCTTTTCTAACATTCAACTTACAACCTTTCAGACTTAAAGTTTGTCTGTACATCAAAAGTTTAATTTTATGCAAATTCTGAAGTTCTCTTGCTGGTTGTGGGATGGCATTTATGAACTACTGTACATATGATGATAAACTTTCATAACAGAAAGATAGCAAATAAGATATCAGTTAAAAAGATCTTTTCTGATTAAAAATGTCAAAAACATTCCTCTGGAAAATTTACCTCCCATCCAGAATTTCTCTGCCAGTAACTCATGTTAATACTAATAAAACAAAAATATCTAAAATTTTATCATCTAAATAATATCTATATTTGATTCTATTGGTTTTGGAAGAGATCAGATCAAAATGGATCCATTCATTCAGCTATTCCAGGCTTGTTCCTATTGGTCATTACTTTCTTTAAAAACTAAATTGACTCAGTTTCAAAGTACTTTTTGGTCAGTCTCTGTCTTGATCATCTTAGCTCTAAAGATCAAGATCATGTTTCTCTCTAGAAACTTTTTGTCATGGATGTTTTTGTAGTTATTGTGAATTATGAGTTTACTTTAAAATAAGTACAAATAAATTAATTTTATTTTAAGTCTTATTCTTTTATCTTGTTATAAAATATAATAAAATCTGAATAATATACAAATATAATAAACCATTGATTTAATGATCTTTGGATCTAACAGACAAAAAATTTTAAAACTTTTTTGTTTGCAAATAGAGAATGCTAAAAAGTTGGAATAAGTCAATGAATAGAAATTACTCAATGTACAGTATTTAATATTTCATTCATACTTATATATCAAAACATTTTAATATATCTTGCATATCCTAAGTTTGTTATTAATTAATATATGTTTTTAAAACACATTCAATTTAACAGAATTTTAGCAGTAGTGGATACTTTCTCTAATCAGTCTGTTAAATAGAGGATTTACTGTATGTCAAGTACCTGACAAAAATTTCATCACTTCAGTACTAATCATATAATTATGCATTAAAGTTTATCAAAAAATGTTAAATATTAACTTTGTGTCCATTTAAATACATTTACTAAATATATTTAACTGGACACAAGAAATTAAACAAAATACAGTAAGTTATAAGAATTGCTCAACATGTCCTCTGAAGATGGAGACAACTGCATACAACAAACCAACAACTCACATATACTAGCAAACACTATTTAAAAAGCAATTTTTAACTTTTGAAATAAAAAGCTTAAATTTGTACATGTTGGTAATACAGGAGTAGAAAACAAATAGCAGTATCTGTTTGGCAGTTAAGTTTAAAATTTGTTTTCAATATAACTTTTGGCAGGCCAATCTCAAAAATGAAGTGGATTTTCAGACCTTTACAGAAAATTTTACACTTACAATTATAGAATCTACCCCTAAATACTGGCACTGAGTTCAGTTACTCCATGTACATATATTTGTTTCTATTTATCTCTGATATTTATCATACTTACTTTCTTTATTCTCAGAAGACCTCTCTTCTTGTTCTACAGTAGAACCTCGATTATCCAGACCTCTATTCTTGTTTATTTTGTTCAAAATAAACAAAAATTTTACGAATTTGCTGATTTGCACTTGGCAAATTATGATACTGTTTATGTATGTGATGGAATGCATAACTTTTTTTGTTTCAACAATGTCTCACCCGGCACAGTGGCCGTAAACTCTTAAATATATTTTGCATCATAATAAAAATATAACTTGACATACATATTTATACTTTTTTAAAAAGTTAAATGGATCTGTTTGATTGGTTGAGATAGTGCAAATTTTTATGTCAATTTGACATCATTACATCAGTTTTAAAATGTAAAATTTAGTGATGCAACAAATATGCAAGGTTGCCGACTTTAAGGGGGAAACAATTTATCTCGCGTCAGAATGAGCCTAAGGGAAACCGCGTATGTGGGCGGTGGCGAAGGAGGCAAATGAAGAACAAGTATTTTACAAAAGAAAACCCGTTTATTTGTTCGAATTCATGCTTACATAGATATTGGACAATTCCAAAATCGATGTGCTCCTATGAATGACGAGAGTTCCGGTGATCGGTCGCAGCCTGGGCGGACGAGAAGGATCACTGGACGATACAGATGTTTGTTGTTAAGCTGCGACGTCCTGGGTGATCGGTGGTTGCACAACACAATCTAAATCACAACGGTAGGCTTAATCCAGAGGAGACTCTCTTTTCGACCTTGAAGTTCCGATTTTTATAGTTTTTTCCCCACTGTTCACATTTCAGATTGGTCCCTCGTCCCATTCCTCGCTTCTCGATTGGTCTCTCCTTTGTCTCCAGGTGCAAGACGAAACTTTTTCAAATCGCGGGAAAGGTCCGATTTGAGGTGTCCACCTGATACCTCTTTGTCAACTCTGCTCAGTGACTGTTTATAAAACAATAACACCTGCACTCATAACTCAAGCCATTGTTTACCATTTCTTGACATATAAAAATTTAACGATCATTTTCATCTATCAAAAATTTTCCTTGTTTTTTGTTCGTAAAGGTTTATCTCTGCCAACATTTTATAGACACATGAGTCAAAGATCTACCTGTTTATGAGCGCTTGTATTAGAGTTTGTCTTCCACTAAGATCTTGACAGATAGTTTGACACATACTCGAACCGTTAGGAGTCTTGTTGTTTACATTTTGTGTCACGCAAGAATTTCACAGTTTACTCGAGTTCGAACTTCGTCTGGGACCCCACAAATAGTATATTCGGCCTCAGGCTGAACACCGAATATTCGGCTAGGAGTGTGGCCAAATAGCCGAATATTTGATCAAACTATTCTGCTTGATTAACTCACGTTCGAAAATTGGCGCGCTAACCGCATTATAGCAAGGATCATGCACCCAGCTCTCTATTGGCCCGCTGTCACTACGCTTTGCCAATCACGTTAATTCTTGACAGTTGTAGCAGACAGGCATGAGCATCATGGCAGTATGTGATAAGCAATGATATCAAATGTGGATAACAATAAAATGACCTACATGTGTAAATAACGGAAAAAGAACTCGAAGTGAAAATGTGAAAATAAATATGAAATTGAGTTGATAACATAATCGAACAAGTTGAGGCAGCTTATTGGTGTGAAATTTGCGGCCATCAATGCCAAATAATTTTTCTCATAGACTTGGGAAAGCTAAATGCTTGTAATGAAAGTCACTTTGCATGCATGGGTGAAAGCCTGGGGCCATTCAGGCTACCAAGCTGTCTGGAACTTTAGTTATGATAAATAATTTTGTACAATGAAACAAAAAAATTAATTTAATTTTCAAGTTTATAATAAGGGACAATTTCATAAAAACACTTTACAGATCATTATTATTTTTTTCACATTTTATGACTAAAGTTTTGATCTAATGTGCTCACGCAGTAAAAATTTTCAAACAAATTTTTAAGTTTCTAGCACCAGTAGTTTTGGCTCTGCATTAATTACCCTAACAGGACTTGTTCTTTTATATATGAATATATAGATGGTTTGTTACCTGGTTTGTTACCTGTTGGTTTGTTACCTGTTTCTTTGATCTTTTGAAAAAATAACTTAGTTATATTATTTTTCCTTTGGTCTTTTACATAAATAAGCAAAAAATTGCGCTTTCTCGAACTTGAAATGTATGTTCAGCATTAATTAAAGTTACCAAGATGATTAATTTACTGTGTTCTTTCTTACTCCTGTTTTTAAGTATTCGGCCGAATACCGAATAGTAACAGAATATTCGTTGGTTACATCATTAGTAAAATTCTAAAAAAATGACGTAAAAATGTATACTATCCCGACCAAACAAACAAATCCATTTAAGTTAAATTTTTAAAAACTTAAAAAAAAAGTAATAACAATAATTATAAAATTTCAAATTCTTAAAAACTTATAAATTAAAATATGGTAGTTATTATAATAATCAGTACTGAATAAAATAAAACAATAATACAATAAGAAGAGAAATACTCAACCTTTTACAGATGTCAAACCTCTAGGAAACAACTTTGAATTTTCATTCCAGCCGCCAAGATTTTCAAAACTGGTACTTGTGGCGCCATCTTACCACGTTTACTTAACGAAATTTTTATTCATGCGTAAAAACTTAATATTTACAAATATTAAGCTTTTATTAAATTATTTACGTAATTTAAAATTTTCATTAAATTTTTTTATATTTATTTTTTTTTAAATAACAATAATTTAATTACTCGTTATTACTAAACATTTTCTTCACTTCGGGACTTTTACGGTTAAATTCTACTAGTTATTTTTTTTCCGAATAAAAGATTGCTTAATGTATAAATTATGATCCTGAATGGTGACAATTATGTCTTAGCTATATATCTTCAAGAGCCTAATAATAATTCACTAGCGATCGGTTGGCCAAGGCGGTGAAGAAACCACTTTAGCTCTCGTGGAGTCGGTTTGGAAAAATTATATACTGTGTAATTATTACATTTTATGCGAATAGTGGCTGTTTTTAAATTTTGTAAAGTCTAATTTTGTGCAGTAGATGTAACAGTAAAACGGCCGGACGGCCGAGCGGTCAACATGGTAGCCTACCTCTGCGGGAGAACCGGAATCGAATCCGGACTGGGTCGAAAATTCTTAAGAATTGTTCGGGGGATAGTCCGTCCGGACATGTCGGTCCCGTCACTCACCGCCCGGCCTGGCCTGGCCGAAGTCATAATCGGCTTGCTAAAAAGAGTCCTCTTAGTGCCCACAGGGCAAAAAGAGTTATAAAAATGCCCACCGCTCTGAAAAACCCGGGATCGAATCCTATTTTGCTTCCTCAAAGAATGTCATTTCCGAGACTAGTGCTGTTTCGCTTTACAAAAATGTAAAATTCGCTTGTAAAGCGATTAAATATTTTTAATCGCTATAAAAATACCGATTTTTACCAAATCCTCGTAGCATTTCATGAATACTTAAAGTGGTATTAATTTTAATTTTATATTTTTATTTTTACAATCTTTGACTTTTTGTTACTGTCCATATTTTTATCATTTTCTATTCGATCCAATATATTCAGGCCAACGTATTGCTAGAAATTTGAGGCGATCTAAACTTAAAACCAGATCCTTAATTTTTATCTCAAAATAGACTTTTTTATTTTTCTGAAAAATTTTTACAAACTTCATAAATTGTTTTAAATTTGAGTTTTATTTTTATCCGCTAGAGGCCGTTATGAATGTAAATCGTTTGTTTTGCGAATTGATGGAAGAAGTTCTACCTGTGAAAATAATCATTTCAGAAAGAATTTATAAAGTTATGAGGTAATTTTGTTGATTATTTATTCATTTATTTAATATATTTAACAATTATATACATGATATTAACAGAAATATGTCGAATTGACACTTTAAAGGGCTCGTATTATAATTTATTGGTTAAAGTTATGACATGTAAATTTACATTATTTCTACTTCGTTCTTTACTTAATGTTATTATTAAGCAGTTAAACTGTTATTAATTTCTTTCTATTGATATTAACATTTCTGGGTGAGATGTGAACTCTGAATGAGGCGTTTCCCACCCCCCAGTATTGTAGACCCCCTGTATGAGCAGAATACTCAATGGAACCGTACCTGTATATGCGACTTATATGCGAACCGTACCTGTATATACCCTTTGCGAGATATCTGCTTCAAAAGGTCAGTTTTTACCAAGTACTGGTATACTACCTATTCTCAATGCATAGATTAAAGTTGACCCGGACAAAATTAATAGTTCACCCGGACAGTGAGTCAATTCCCGGACAGTCCGGGAATTGACTCACTATCCGGGTGAACTATTAATTTTGTCCAGGAATTTCGTAGAAATTGTGAAATTACGATGAAACAAAGTTCTTGCAAATATTTTTACAAATTTACATTATTTTAACAGCAAAAGAACTCGCACTTACTGAAACTCATCTGCAATTCTGCCATGTTAGTCTGTTTACGCCAACATGTGGTGCACAACCTGTCGTCAACCTTATTTTTTTTTGCGTGTATGATTGTACACGTCTCTCCAATATCCAATAAATAGAGCTGTCATCTGTGCCTGTTCTTTCTTAATTTAGGTTACTCCTACACAAGTCCCTAGTCCCTAACTAACTGATTTAGAACTGCCATGCACGTTATTCTTTGCATTGTAAAATGACATTGCGCATGTGTCAGGAACTTCTGTTTGAACAAACCTGACCTGCCATCCAGGTCAGCGATTTTCAAAAGGTGGCAACACTAGTCTCCCTATTGCTTGCCTTGACACGTGCAAGGTGCGAGTGATAGCATGCACTTCGACACCCATTAGGGAAGAGCCCTCAGGGTGCTGTATCTTGTGTAGGGTCATATGTAGAGGTATGCTTTCTTTTGACTTTTTTGCTCCTATGGTCTGCAGCTATGATAAGTCCCAACTGTCTTGTAGAGAGGTGTAATTGTACCAACATGACCCTATTGCTCTGGAGAACTTAGGATTCAAAACCAGGCCCAACCCAGTTGGGAGATAGCACAAGTTCTGGACTCAATGACCACATTCAGCAGACTCAACAGTTGTAACTGAGCAAACCAGTAGCTGTTATGTAGCAACCTGGATCTGCTGAACAATGAGAGATGTATGCATTGGAACTGGAAGTTGGTGGTTCTAGAGGTAGCTTCTGCTTTCACGTGTTCCAACTTTTGTTTAAAGATGGAGTTAGCAATTGCATTTGCATTGGATGACATCAATTGGAATATCTGTCACATCAAAATTTTAAAGACATACCAGGTTGTTCAATAAGTTTTGTCGTTCGATAAGAAAAACACAATTTTATGGTTTGAAATACATTTTATTATTCAATATAATCTCCGTGAACTTCAATACACTTGTTCCAGTGATCTTCTAATTTATGGATTCCATCCCTAAAGTGAGAATCCAGAAGACTGTCGAAATACGCATCCACGGCTGCTATTACCTTTTCGTTCGATGAAAATCGTTTCCCACGCATGAATTTTTTTAGATGTGAGAACAGCCAGAAGTCAGAGGGAGCTAAATCTGGCGAATAGGGAGGATGTTGCAACAATTCGTATTTTAATTTACTGATTTTCGCAATGGTTTTTTGAGCTGTGTGAGAGGGGGCGTTGTCTTGATGAAAAATGATTTTTTTCTTTTTTAAACCAGGTCTTTTCTCACGAATTTTTACATCTAGCTGGTCCAAAAGGTTACAATAATAATCTGAGTTTATTGTTTTACCAGTTTGGAGGTAATCCACAAACAAAATTCCTTTTGCATCCCAAAAAACTGATGCTAACACCTTCTTGGCCGATTTCTGGACCCTAACACGCTTCGGAGCCGAAGTACCGGGTTCACACCACTC